TTTTTTTTTTTTTTGACCAGGAATTATACCACCAACTCACTATTTTGAATGATGAATACTAGGAGGGGAAAAGGAGAAAATAAAACAGGAAAAAAAAGAAAATGAGCGATTATTCCCCACGTAGAACTGCTTTATATGTTTTTTTTTTTTTTTTGGTAATGTGTTTTTCTCAATCACTCGAGCGCCCAAATTTTCTTATGATTCCCCCTCCCTTTGTTACGTAAGTGTCTCTGTGTTCAGGCGGAAGTGTGTTCTGTGCTCTTTTTTTTTTTTCTTGCTACCCCTTTCATAACTAATGTTCCTGTCAGAAGAGGCTGGCAAATGTATGGAGGAAGCCGTCTCTCTCAGACGGTATTGTTGCTATTATTATGCAGCCCTCAACGTAGCCACCTTCTTCTTTGCAGTTGATGTCTGCAGTGATGAAAGGAGGACAGAGTTTTCTTTCTCTGTACAAACACCTTCGCTTGCGCGTCTGCCTGGGGGTGGGGGTGGGGTGCTTTCCTTCTTTCTCAAGGAAAGAAGAAATGAAATGAATTTTGCTTCTGGGAAGCAGCAATGTTAATGCTTGTCTGCACTTCTTGCTACTTCCATTTCGATTCCTCGCGAATATACGCTGAAAGTGTAGTGGAAGAAATGATGCAGGGAAAGTCAGTAGCAATGACAGCAGGACTTTCTAGCCGCGTTGCTGTGCCGCGCAGTTATGTGCGAGCTGCATTGCGAGGACTGCGAGATGCAGTGGGACGCCCTTGTGCTCCGTACACATCACGCGAACACCTTAAAGGCCTTGATAGAGCGCTACGTTATGCGGTAACGTTTCAAGAACGCTCCGAAAAGCGTTGGACTGAAGTCAATCGCGCTCTAGAACCGAATAAGAATATTATTCGTGTAAGCGAAGACAAGATCCTTCCTCTTGGATTTGCAAGGACACTACAGCAACTTGACGGCGATGATGAAAATAATGATGAATCTTATCCAGATAAACCTAGTGCTGCCCAGTGGGAGCGGCAGCAGGTTTCTCCAACATTCTCTGAGAAACAACAAGCGAGATTGCACGCTGCATTGCAACAATGGGTCTTCTACTGCAGTTTTCACATTTCTCAGAAGGAGTTTCTGGCCCGGCAATCCAAAATATCAGCGGTCCTTCTTCTTTCACCAATACGGGTGGTTCCATCCAGCAGCAGCAGACCTGAGAGTGCAAACAGTTTGGGAATATCTGTGCGCCGTCGTGGGGCACAGGCGTATGTTGATTTGCTTGTGCACCATCGTTTGATGTTGAATAATGAGGAAGAGTGGATTACATTATGCAAACTATATTCCGGGAGTGAAGAGAAGGGTGAAGGGAATGAACTTTCTGTGATGAAACTACCGTTTATCAGCTCTTCTGAAAATTGTGTCTCGTGTGAGCGAAGCCTTGCAGTGCTTTCGTGGGCGATGCAGTTTCAACAACAACAACAACAACGGCAAGTTCATATTTCTTCTTCTGATATCGCAAACGTCCTTCAGCAGTATGCTCAACAATTTGGCGAACGGATAGAGGTACCGGAAGTAAGACTTGAAAGTGACAATGAAGATGGTACGTTAAAGTTGAGTACTGCAGATGAACAGGCTGTTGTTACACGCCTTCAACAATGGTGGGCCACTGCGCGTGATGCTGAGAAACAGAACTCCAAACTTGCAGAGGCTTGTGGGCTCGACCGCACAGCGCCAAGTTGGATTCACGTAGAAGGAAGAAAAGTGACTCTTTCGCCGTCTAGCGATACTCCAGTCGTAGGCGACACTGTGTTTGCAGAGTTGCTTCTTCAGGGACGCTGGGAGGATGTCCTTCGACACATTGAATCCGTAGCAACCGTCGCGTTGCAACTTAATGAACCTACAATTGATATGGAAGAAGAAAAACGGATAACTAAAGAGGAACTAGAGGAAGTGGCGTGTGTTGTAGATGAGAAGAATGAAGAACGACAATACAGTCTTGGTTCAGTCGCACCATCGCTCTCTTCGAGTAAGGATAACGTTATATCGCAATTCTTCAATAGGCGGCGTCCATTACTCGTAAAGAGAAAGCTATGGGTTCACAGTACCGCCTCGCGTCTCGGACGAGTTCCCCGTAAGCTTCTTCTTACTCCTGAGACACCATCAGAGGTGAGTTTGCTGCAGAAACCTCCAATGATTGGTCTTCGATCTAGACGTGAACATTTAAGTGTGGTGAATGAGAAACAGCAAAATTTGGATGGTTTACCCAGATCTCCCCCATCTCTTGCACTCATGGAATTACGCCGTAAACTGTGGATTCTTGCTCAGCTCCCAAGACGTATCCCCCGTTCTCTTGTACGTTTTGAGGGAACTGGTGCTTCTATGCTTCCGTACTTGCAACGTTCTCTTGCAAAGGAACTTGTTCCATGGGTTATTCTTTCAACTATTGTTGCCATCGCACGAGAAGAACTAAAAGAAGATATTCATGAAGGACTAAAACGTGTGCGTGCACAAGTTCTCTACACACTATTTTCACCAATTTCATTCTATGCAGCATTTCAGGAGTATTGTTCCGATTTGATAGTACAGTTTGGAAGTTTGCTTGCCCCACCTTCTGTGATACGAGTGGCGGTACGCTCCATATTGCGACCACCTTCGTTACGACACTTTTACGATGTGTTGGGAACGCGACGTAATCAAATAGAGTCTGTATGCCGTCAGATGTGGTGGGGTTCACTAGATACAGCAATGGATTCCGATGAGCAAGAAGAACTATCTTCTTCTACGTTTTCCCAGACTACAATATCTTCGTTGGAGCGGATTCGTTCTGATTCCGATGCACTACGTAAGTTTTTTGAGAGTAAAGCGGGTAGTATGCGCAATTATCATATTTCAATGTGGATTGAAAGCTGTAGTAAAGTGGAAACACTTGCGGAACTTTTAGATATTCTTGTGCGAGAAGTGAATTGCTATGGACCACCTCTACTTTCACCAGAGGCGGCAGCGTCCTTACTTACAGCAGTTGTTCTTCCGCTCATTGCCTCAAATGGAAGGAATATTATGGATTCCGAGAGGAATATTCTGCGTGCGCTTGGTGTGGTCTATTTTGTAGTCCCTGCCGACCGGGTATTTGGGGCTGCACCGTATTTTAAGGGAACTTATCATGAGCGTTACATCCATTCTACTCCACTAGAGTGGACTACAAGTTGGGATGGTTCAGAGGCATTGTTAGTTGGCCGTTCTCTTCGTCATGCGACGAAGTATCCTACAACTACCACTGAATCTTTTTTACGAGTTGATAAACGACATGGTATTCCAACCTTGACGTTCCGTGTGCCAGAGCTTAAAGTACGTCTTATGACAGTTGATCTTCTTGAGGCGGTTAGTTACTTTGATGAAGGTAAAAAACAAGAACAGCTACAAAAAAGAGGGGATATGGTGAATGCGATAAATGGTGAAACCGTAGAGGCTGATAAAAATCCCTTTCTTGTCGCCTCTCATTTGCCGTTGGGTGTTGTAGCGGTTAGTAAACCCTCTGGAATGAGTACAACTTTGCACGCCGGGTTTCCCCATCTGGTGAATTTTCTGGCTCAACATGTACCTTGGCGAGGTGATGGAACACCTGTTCTCTACCAACATGGCCTTGTCAACCGCATTGATGTTGGAACGAGTGGTTTAGTGCTCGCTACCGATACGGAAGCATCTCTCGTTGCGGCGCGGCGCGCCAGCGTTGTGGACCATGTGGTGGAAAAGACATACCGGGCGCTTTTGCTGCGCTGCCCACCACCGGCCTCTCGTGTGGACGGCGAGGAGTGCTGGTACCTCAACCCTCACGGCGTCATCACACGCGATGTGTTTGCGAACGGTGCCGACTTCTCACTGCAGCGCGCTGCCACTCACAATACGCAGCGCGACGGGCTGCCGACGGCATCTGCGGACTGGCGACGGGCAACGACGGCGTACCGCGTCCTGCGGTACTTCCCTGCCAGCGGCGTTTACGATGTAGAGGTGCGGCTGCGCGCCGGTCGGCGGCATCAAATCCGGCAGCACTTCGCACTATTATGGCACCCGCTGCTCGGCGACGGCCGCTACCACGAGCGTGCAAAGTCAATGGGAGAGCGGGTGGGGCTTCACCGACCGGCACTGCATGCATTCACTATCACTATGTGGCCCGCCCGTGCAGGTGGGTCGGCGTCCGTTGCGGAGTATGCTGACTGTGAGAAGACTGTTGTGGAGTGTCCGCTGCCAGGCGATATGCGGCATGCATTGGAAATGTTGCAAAAGCTGGAGGGAAAGGATTGAGGGGCGTGAAAAGATGATCTCGTGTGGGTGGGTGTTTTTTTTTTTTTTTTTAATTTATTTTTGCCTATTCAATGGAATGGAGATAATAATACATATATTCTGCTACAACTACACATAAAGACGTAAACGGAAAGGAAGAAGGAAAGAAAAAGAATTTGGGTGAAGGTTGACGGAAGCAGTGAGCGAGAGAGAGAGAGAGAGGTCGTAAAGAAGAAGAAAGAAAAAACAAAACATATACAAGGAATACAATGGTTCTACTTACGTACGAATATTGCAATAAGAGAGCATCTTTACCTGTGAAACATCAATAAACAAACAAACAAAAAAAGTGACTGCCTCTCTTTTATGGCTGAGCAGAGAAGGATAAAAGTACCCAAAGAGGGTGATTAGTTTTATATGCAAGGAACGAGTTCTTCATCTCAGAATGCGCTCTACGAGCGATGCCTTAATGGGGCGAGGGCTGCCAAGGATGAGGGGAACGCCGCCCTTAAAGATGGAAAGCTGCGCGCAGCAGCGTTTAACTACAAAAAAGCAAATTTATATCTGGCTGAGTATATTCAGGATGATAATAAACTTGCAGGGGAAGGTCTTGTGAATGCACTATGCAAACAACGAGACTCAGCACGGCGTTCGCTTAGTCCAGAGCGCTTAGCTGAACTTATGGAACTATACGCCGCCGTTCAGAACAATCTGGCTCTTGTGAATCTTAGACTTGGTCGTTACCCAGAGGGAGTGCGCTCTGCGACAGTTGTTCTCTCAATCCCTGAGCACGCTGCGAACACCAAGGCCCTGCTTCGGCGCGCCAGTTGCAACTTACACCTCGGAAACTTAGAGAAGGCGGAAAGTGACCTTGACGCGGTGGAGCGTCACTCTCAGATGACAGGAGCGGGTCCCGTGGATCCTGCAGTGGTCAAATTGCGTGCTGAGATAGCAGAAGCTAAAAAAGAAGCGGAGCGGAAGCAACGTGATATGTGTAAAAGGATGTTTGTATCGTAAAAGAAGGGTGAAAAAACGTGTAGAAAACAAACAAAAAAAAAAGAAACTCTAGGGTATGTGCCACTGGAGTTACTTTACCTTTGTGGTGTTAAAAACTTTTTTTTTTTTTCTTTTTACTAGTCACATTACATTGCATTCTTTTCCCTTGGTAGCAAGTATGGTGCTTGTCTTCTATATTTGTATTGATTTTATTCGTTTTTTTTTTTTTTTTTTACTAGGAGGAGTGGTGACAATAGTGAAGTAAGGTGTTACTACTAGTACTGTTGCGTGTGTGTGTGTGTGTGTGTGTGTGATCCTTTAGAGCCAATCCGCACAGAAAGTTTTAGTAATTCATTTTATCTATCTATTCTTATAAAGAGATTGATTTGTGATGCATCGCAGTCGTCTCCTTAAGAATCCTGCGGCGTTTTATGAATTTGTCGACAATAATTTCCTGAACAACAAACGTCCACCTGTACCTGGTGGTTCATGGCCTTATGAGAGTCTTCGCGGAAAGAGCCTTGCGGACCTGCAGCAGATCTGGTTCCTTTTGGTAAAGGAGCGCAACATGCTGCAGTCGATGCGGGAACACTATCTGCGACACCAGGAGGAACTCGGGGCCATGCCGGCGCCGTCGAGGCTGCGAATGGTGCAGGAGTCCATGCGCAACATCCGCCGTGTCGTGCAGGAACGCGAGGCGGCGGCCACGGCGAAGGCCACGGCGATCTTCCGCGAGCGGCTGCAGCGCGGAGTCTACCGATTCCCGCCGGGCCCGCCGCCGCCACCGGGCGCCCACTCGAAGACGGTTGTTGTGAAAGTGACACTCGAGCGTCGTGTGGCAGAGGAGCGGCTGCGGGAATTGTTTGGCCGCTACGATGTGTTTGAGTCGCACAGAGGCATCGTGCGGGTGGAGCTGCGACTGCCGGAGGACGTGATGCGACGCAAGGAGGAGGCAGAACAGGTGTGGACGCAATACGTTGCGGAGAAAAGTGATGTGAAGGCATACCATCAGTGGGCCGCTGCGCCAAGTGTGTACGATTACACAAATGTCGAACTCGCACCCGGTGTGTTCGCGAATGACGCTGTAAGGGAACATATGGATGGAGAAAAGAAAGATAAAAACGACAATGAGAGTTGTAGTGGAGATAGTAGCAACGGTAGTATTGAGAAAAGTAATAAAATTGATGAAAATGGGGCCATTATAGCAGCAAGTTTGCCCGTACCACCGAGCAAAGAGAGGCCAACACCACCAAAGAATCCACTGGAGCGACTCAAAGCTGAACGCCGATCGTATCTTGCAAAAAGTGTTATCCAGCTCGGCTACTTCCCCAATATCACGATGGAGCCGCCACGTTATAAAAGTGTTGAGGAGGTGCCACGTCCAACTCATCCAGATGAAATTGAGGGTCCATGGGAGGCATACATCACTTATGACCAAAGTGACGGTCTGGCATATGCGCAGTCGCTTGGTATCACTACTATTGATGGAACAAAGGTAATCGAGATAGCGGAACATAAGCGTGAGCCCCAGCCATATTCTGAGTTTGACCCTGTTTATCAAGAAGCTCTGCGTCGTGAATCAGCACGGGAAGAGACTCTTATGAAATGGCCACACGTGCCTGAATGGAAATACGACTACAGCACATACACACGTAAACATCTTTCTGAAATTGTACGCTACAATTACAGCAATGTTGTGGATTACGTGGATCGTGAGGTTCTCCTAACAGGGAAATCTGTTTGGGAGTGTCCCATTGACATTGATCATACATGTGGTGGTGCCAAATCTGTGCCGCCACATGCAAAGAAGCCGATAAGATACATGGATGCGGGGATTACCGAAGTGGGTGTCACAGATATCTAAAACTCTCTTTATGTGTGGAGATACACTTGTATTGGCTCAGTGTTCAACATTTATGAACAATGATGATGATGATGATGATGATGATGATGCTTATAGTCTACGTGTTTACTGCTTCCTGTTGCCGCTGTTTTATTATTATTATTATTATTATTATTATTATTATTATTATTATTATTATTATTGTGTTACTTTTAATTAAATATATTAATATCTCTTTTTATTTTTATTTCTTGTACTTTGTGTATCTTTTCCCTCCTCCATTCCCCACCCCCGCTGGGACAGAAAAGTTTTGGATAAGAGCAAATTAAAAAGAAGACGAAAGGGTATAGACTGTCAAAAAAAAAAAAAAAAAGATGGAACGCCATCATGTGAGTCTTCTTGATAGTTCCGTTGCTTCGCAGCTGCCATCGATGCGAGGAGACGAAGAACAGCACCATTTTGAACCTGCACATTCCCCACTGCTAGGGAGTACAACTGGTCCGGCACATGCCTCAGTGTTGCATGAGTCTATCAATTCATACCCCAAAAGTGGTGGTCGTCGTTTCTCTAACACGCAGCGGGAATTAATGAGCAGTGGGCAGCCACAAACAACGATGACATCCACTGGTGGAGGATCCCTTTCTACAGGATTCTTTCGACGGCGCTCTATGCGGGGCAAGAGTACCTCTACGAACCCCACGAGGCACGCTGCAAACAGACAGAACATGTATGTTGTTCAGCTTGAAGGGGACACTGGTGGTATCGAAATGCAAGCGGCAAGTTCTCGTCTCCAAAGTGCAATAGGGATTCGAGAAAAGTATAAGACTGTGGACAAGGGTCAACAAGAGGGAACAGAACGACTGGTACCACCAGTAGTATTATCCTTCGAAACAGGTGTTATTCAGTTTAGTGATCAGCGTACAAATATTGTTCCATGGGAGCAGTTCTATGATGATGTCACAGAAATATATACTACCTTACAGCATCCTATTTGTTGCCGTGCCTGCTCCCATAGACTCCAGGTACTGGAAGAAAAGTACAAGTTGTATAAGCTCTGCAATAATGAATATGAAAATTCTGATCGCTACCGTCGTGGGGGTGGCGTATTCGCCGATTGTACAAAAGTTGACAACAGTGTTTACCTCGCTTCTATCATGAATGCTCAACAGTTAGTGGAGTACATGCAAGAGACATTAGATCGGTATGGAGAAGAAGTAGTACGCTATGTGGGTGAAAAAAAGGAACCGCAGACACTGCAGTCAATGTGTGAACAACTTGACTTTCCCGATCCCGCCAATATTACTGTTGACACTCTTGGTTTATTACCTCCCAACGAGAAACGATTGTACCGCTACGATATTCTCGACCCAGAACTTAACCGTGCTGGTCGCAACAGTGCAGAGTTGTTGCGTCTTTTTCTTACACCAGACACATTAAATAAAGGACGGTTCTTTGCAGATGCTGTACGGCCTATGTTAGCTAAAAATGATTCACGACGGCGAAATATTGAGGCAACGGAGAGTATCATCGAAATTGGTGGGGTAACCCCAGAAGACTGGGAAAAAATGGCGCAATGGATCCATGAAAATGAACTGGCAGAACAGGAAAACAATCAATGGCTTGTTGCGATATCACGACGTATGATTCGTAAGGAAACAACGAAAGACACTTTTGAACACCACCAACAACATCTTGAAAATCTTTTTTTACCACTTTTTATGGCCACATTGGCACCAGAAGATCCAAGGAACACACAATTGGCATCTTTTCTTGCTCGTATCGGTGGTTTTGTGATTGTGTCTGATGAAGAAGAACGTGGTAACGATTTTCAGCGAAAGTCAAGACGACCAGCAGAGGTTCCATGGTCAGAGAATGTATGTGATCTTTATTTTGCCTACAATATCTGGGCAAATTTGTGTTCTCTCAATGCCTTTCGACGGCGCAAAGGCCTCAACACACTTCAACTTCGTGCTATTGCTGGAGGTCGTAGTACTCAGTTAGATGTCCTTGTATATTCGTATCTCCTTTGTGATAGTGTCTCAAATGGCATTATTCTTGAGAATCATCCTGTATTGCAGTACCTTTATGGTATTCATCGTATTGGTATGATGATATCACCTCTTAGTAACAATGGAATGGGTTTGCCGTATATGCAAAATCCCTTCCCAGTTTTTTTTCGACGAGGACTTAATGTTTCACTTTGTACTGATCGACCTGTACTTTTTCATCACTCTAGAGAAGCGATTATAGAAGAGTATGGAACGGCAAGTAAATTATATCAATTATCTGGTACAGATGTTTGCGAAATTGCGTTAAACTCTGTGACAATATCATCCTTTTCATACAACACAAAGGCGGCATGGCTTGGTGAAGCATTTATGCAAGAGGGTATAAAAGGAAATTTATTTGAATTAAGCAAGGTACCAACACCTCGTCTAGAGCTTCGGCAAGAAATGTGGCAGACGGAGTTACAGGTTATAACTGAAGCGACAAAACAGCAAATACAGACTGATGATGATGGTTGCATTTTGACATCTCCAGCTGCTCCTGCTATTAGTGAAGCTAACTGCAGCCTCGGTGTATCACCAACAGTTAAGGTTGTACCATCAACTCAGTTCCCTTACATTGTGCAAGATCCTCACATTGATTTCCCACGAGTTGTGTTTGTTGGGCCTTATGAACGTGATCCCTCGTACACAACTGTGGCGCAGTTATTACACCGAGCACTAGAACTTCGTGCGCAGTATGTTCGTCAACACCGTGCTGGTGAAGCTGGAGCTGGAAAGGAGATGTTAAACCCACATGAAATTGAAAATGCGTTTCGTCGTGATGAGGCATTTGATGAAGATGAGTGGATGTTTAAAACGGTTGAAGGTATTCTTGTGCCGCATGAAGTACATCAAATTCCTCGACTTCCAAAGGAAATGTTTCACTACGATGACTTCCGTGTTCACGTGCAGGAGTTGCGTCAAATTATGGATAATATAAACGTACGAAATTTTGCAGCACGAAGATTGGATTTGTTAGAACATAAATTCTTACTTCACATTGCTCTTAATCGCAGTCTTGAAGCAGGTACTACAGCCGAGAAGGCTTCACAAAATCGTGACTTTTATCAAGCGACAAAAGTGGATAATAATGTTCGTATGGAAAGTGGTATGACAGCACGACAACTTTTGAACTTTATTATTTCCAAAGCGAATAATAGTGGTGATGATATTGTTGCACATCAAGAAGGAAAGGAACCACAAACACTTCGACAACTATTACATGAACTGAATATATCTCCAAACAATCTTACAGTTGATGATCTTAATGTACAAGTGGATGCAACACTAGGAGTGGCAAGTGCACAGTACCTTCCAGAGGGTCGGGATGAGTTACTTACTTTGTTACTTAAAACAGATAATCAAATGAAAGGACGTTACTTTGCCGAACTGACAAAACTTACCTTTGAAAACTTTAAACACGATCGTTTTACTTTTACAGAAAATCGATTACCAATCTATGGTGCAAATGACATGGAATGGAGTCGACTTTCAGATTGGTTTGACACTCATGGTATGGCATCTGTACATAATAAGTGGATGGTACAGGTTCCACGTATTTACTCTTACCTACGTAAGCGGGGTAATGTACATAGCTTTGCTGAATACCTTGAAAACGTCTTTAAACCACTTTGGGCTGTATCTCTACATCCCAGCAAAGACCCTCGACTCTTCCATTTTATCAGTCACATATCCGGTTTTGATTGTGTGGAGGATGAACACCGTCCTGACACGCCACTTCACTTGGCGACAAAAGCCCCGCATGAGTGGACCTCTGAAGAGGAACCACCATATAATTATTACATGTACCATATGTGGGCAAATATCTACTCCCTTAATGAGTTCCGAAGGCGACGTAATTTCTCAACTTTTACATTTCGTCCAAGTTGTGGTGAAGCAGGTTCAGTTGATCATCTCATTGGTGGATTTCTACTCGCTAATGCTATTAACTACGGTGTCACACTTGCAGATGATGTGGCATTACAGTATCTATTCTATCTTGCACGAATCGGAGTAACGGTAAGTCCATTAAGCAATAATACTAAAGTTCTTGGTTATCTTGACAATCCGTTTCCTCACTTCTTTCGCCGTGGTATAATGGTTTCACTAAGCACTGATAGCCCGCTCATGTTTCATCACACTCAGGAGCCCCTCCTTGAGGAGTACTCCATTGCATCTAAAGTGTGGAAATTAGGGCCAAATGATATGTGTGAAATCGCACGCAACAGTGTACTACTTTCCGGTTTTGACGCTTCCTTTAAGCGAGAGCGCCTTGGAGATCTTTACTTTCTTTCAAGTAGCCGAAGTAATGATGCATCCCGAACACATCTTTCGGATATCCGGGTGGCGTATCGCTTTGACACCTACCACACTGAGCTTGCATTGTTAGAACATATATCCGGTTTTAAATTCCCCAAGGCCCTTCTTACTCTTAGTGAAGAGAGTGCACGAGAGGCAGACTTTCTTGAAGCAATAAAGAAGAAGAAAGAAGTACCAAGGGGAGGAATCATCGATTTGAAACCGGAGGAAGCAGACATTGGAATGCTTCAGAATAATCGTACACGCATGCAACAACGTTTAGAAGAACTTAGTAATACCTTGGTAGAATTACAACGACAAAATAAACAGTTGACAGAAAAACTTGCAGATGAGCATTCACGAGATCAACAAGCTCAACAGTTACGTCGTCGTGGTATGGAGAAACGGTGGGAGCAGCTACAAGATGCGGAAGAAAACCAATCAGTATTGGCACCTGGAGAAGAAGGTTACTCTGAACTTGAACTTGATCCTGCTATGATGTCATTTTTTGCGGGTGGTGCTGGTGCTGGTGCTGCTGCTACTGCCACAATAAGAGGAAGAGAGGAGTTGTGTGATACTGAGACAGGCCACTCTGTTGTACAACAACAACATCCGCAACAGCAGTTCTTTAAGCAACAAGATAGTTACCCCGGTCAATCCCTCTCTATGGCATTTAATGGCATGAATGTTATGGGAACAACCATAGCCAATATCAATAATAGCAGTCCTGCTACTGCTAATAATATTGATTTTGCTAACACTCCGTCCAGTATTAGTGCAGCTGCTGCCGCACTGGTGACAATGTCAGAAAATCTATGGAGTAAATCGTCTGGTAATTCCCGCACAGATAAAGGATCGGGCCAAGGAAGCGGGAGCACATCCGTACTGCCACCAATAATTGCGAATTCATTGCGCATGAGTCACCGCGGTGTGGCGTCGGAGAAACCTCAATCCACGTCTGGGAAAACAACAACTCCAAATCCAACACCAACACCACCAAGGCGCAGGTCAAGAGGTTCCACAGCACAACCGCCTACACCCACTTCTTCAGCAGCACTTTAGCAAAGATTACTGAAGGAAGAGACTTGAGAAAAGTAATGGGTGGAGCAAGCCTGTGGGAACCACGAAAAAACAAACAAAAAACAAGAGTGTAGATTTTCAGAGTAATTTATTGCAGTGGTGCTTGTTTATTTATTTATTTCTATGCGTATGATTATCTACCAACTTTTTATTTTATTTTATTTTCTTTTTTTTCACTTTGTGGGCGTATATGTAATTAATACGTCGACCATCATGCTGGAATTCTTGCCCCATGTACATAGCTTTTTGAACAAAACACGGCGAATTATGTGAAATACCTGGCCATACACTCCTCAAGATGCCTGAAGGCCCTAGTTGTGTTGTTCTGGTACGTCAATCATATGTTTTTTTTTTTCTTGTTTTTGTTTTTGTTTTTGTTGTTTCCTTTCCTCCTCATTCTCCTGTAGTGTGGGGAATGGAGGGGGTGGTTATTTGTGTTAAAATCTCTTTTCTTCTTTTCTTCTTTTCTTCTTTTCTTCTTTTCTTCTTTTCTTCTTTTCTTCTTTTCTTCTTTTCTTCTTTTCTTCCATTCGATGATGGTGAGGCTTCCCCTCTCCTTCTATTGTAGTTAGTGGCAGGAACGAAAGAAAAAAAGACAAACATATATATATATATATATATATACATACAACATACACAAAAACTAGAAACTATATCACGACAGCCGATAAGAGGAATATTGTTAAGTACAAGAGTATCGCTTGAAAGGTAAAAAAAAAAAAAAAGCGTAAAAACAAGAATAATACTAGTTGTGGTGGGTAATAGTAAGCGAGAAGTCTACAACGGCAATTGAAATAAACACAAAGTATGCAACGTAGCACTGCACTGTTTGGCTTACCGACTGTGCGCACGGTGGCGGCTACTGGTTGGCGCTACCACAAACATGGCCGGCCGGAAAAGGTACTGCAGTACGAGCGATTCCGTATTCCGTTTGACCGCAACGGGCCGCAGGTGGTTGTGAAGATGCTCGCAGCGCCAGTGCACCGACACGACCGCAACGTCATTGCCGGTCATCACACACCACGAGAATCATCCCCATATACATGTGCAACTGCATGTGCATCCACATTTGCATCTACACAGCCACAACTGCCGCGTGTCGCCGGTGTTGAGGGCGTTGGAGTTGTGGAGGACGTTGGCCGCGGCGCTACGGTGGCGGTGCGGGAAGGCGATCTTGTGTGGATCAACAACCCCGCCGTCGGCACGTGGGCAACACACATTGTAACGGATGCAGAGAACCTTGACGTTGTACCAAATCGTGCAGACGTAGATGTGGAGTATCTCGCCTCCCTCTCGCTCTTTCATACTGCATACCACTTAACAAACAGCTTTGTGAACCTTCAGCCGAATGATGTTGTGCTACAGACAGGTGCATCATCATCTGTGGCACAGATTTGTCAAGGCTACATTCGTGCACGCGGTGCAAAACTCTTTCAGACCATGCAATTAGGACGTACAGAACACGCTCATCTGGTAGCCTTCTACAAACTTCGTGGGGCGTTTGCCGTTGTGCCGTATAATTATGTGCGCACAAACTATATGCGTCGTCTGCTTTCTGATGTACCACCACCAAAACTACTGTTAAACCATACATGTGGTTACTACGCATCTGGTCTTTTGAATCTATTAGGCGATAATGGTGTTTGTGTTACGTATGGTAACACAAGTGGGAAACCAATGCAGATTGCCAACATGGATGTAATAGCCCGTGGTATTCAGTTTAAGGGATTTTTTCTGCCAAACTGGATTCGCCGACATACACGTGAGGCCCGAATGCGGGTTCACCAAAACGTGATAGAGAGCATGACCATTTCTCAAGGACATGGTATATTCCGTGCTCAACGTTTTAAGATGGATGGTGATAGTCCGTTTGCTTTTAGCAACGCCTGGGATGCACCGTTGTGTAGCCGCAAACCAATTCTACGCATGGTTGGCGAATACGGCGAATGGCGTCGGCCGCGCTCTGACCAGGCGGCATGGAATATTGGTCGTGCTGTCTGGGATGACTTGTTGCAGCAAATGTGGGAAAGTGCTGGTACAACCGAGAACCCGCAGTCTATGAAATATTATACACCATTCAACGATATCTATTCATCATTCCATGACGCGAAGCAGACGAAAGAGATGGGACATCGTGACGTCTTCTTTCGTCGGCCCAACGCTCCGCGTCATAATGCAGCAGAGAAGGTGTAAACGCATTCCTGAGGTAGAGTGCCAAAATAAGAGGAATAGTAAGAAAAGGGAAATAGGGAAAGGGAAGGGTTTTCTGGGTAGTGGTATTATTTATTATTATTATTATTATATTTTTTTTTTTTAGTTACACAGGGGGGAATGGGAAAGAGCTGTGGTGTACAGTGTTATTTAGAAGAAGTAGCGAGAGTAGTTATGATAGCCCATATGAAGAGTCGTGAAGGAGTAAGAAGAAAAAGAAAAGAAAAGTGGATATGAGAAGTAAAACAACAAACAAAAAAAAAAAAGATATGAGAAAGGCTGTGGACAGACAAATGTGTTCATTGGCTTGGCGAGTTCAAATGTACTAACGATGTAGCAAGAGGAAGTCTGAGGTGTAGAAATGTCTTGCTGTGAGAACTGGTATTTGTTTATTGGTATAGATGTAAGATATGCTTCGTGTATAATTTTTATTTTACTATTATTATTATTATTATTATTATTATTATTATTATTATTTCTAATAATTTATTTTTAATTCTTTTATGGTCAGGTAGTGGTGTGTAAGGTGATTTCAGGTAAAGAACAATATTTGTAAACCAAGGAGAAATGTCTACCGTCCTTTGCGCCACCTCTGTACGTTCTATTATTCGAAAATCCGCCATTGTACCGGCGTTAGGATGGTCTTGGTGTAATTTCTGGAATCCCCAACTCACAGCGCGTCGATTTCAGGCTAGTGATCAGTTTCACCGTTATCTGCATAATCCACATATTGTACAACCAGATGGTGTAGACCCGCTTCCCCGTACCAAGGGTGACCAGCAGCAGTGGCTCAATACCGAACAATGGGATGGCTACAGTGACACATATTTACAGCGACACATGCAGTACCCTCCAACTAATGAACATCCTAATGTCAAGCTAAACTCTAGCCACACCCTTCTTTATAAATGTTTAAATAGTTGTTATAGGTACTATGGTGTGCTTGCAGATGAGCTACAAGCGCTTCATGAGGATCCACTTCACCCAAGGTTTCATGAAAAGATTGCCCACGTAAAGAAAGAAAGTGAAAAAATTGCTGAGGAGTTAGACCGTGTATATGCCGACTTACATCCTACCGTGAAATCTATTTATGATGCTTATTTGGTCCGCCGGTACTATCAGTTAAGGGATTGGATTAAGCATGTGGAGCAGAAACGACACAACGTCTTATGTCGACTATCTCCAGAGTACATTAGAGAGACAGAGCATGCTCGAGGTGTGGCCGCACACTTTTTACATCGCCTTCAACAACTTGAAACGGCTTTCACAAACAACCCAACCTTAGGACTATTGGCTGATGAAGGGGATGGACGGTACACACATGATGAAATAGTGATGTTGCGGCAAAAGGCAGCGTACTTCCGCAAAATGCATCAATTGGGGGCCAATCAACAAGATGCCGATGTGCACACATACTAGTCTACGGCAAAAGTTCAGGGAAACAGTTGAGGGGTGGGGGTGAAGTGGGGTTGGAGAAGGACAAGGGGTTACGTCAGAGAAAAGTGTATATGTAGTGAGATTGTTAATACAACCAGTCAATAAAAATTCTTGAGTGGCCTGGACTCTTTCCTTCCTTTTATTATTATTATTATTATTATTATTATTATTATTATTATTATTATTATTATTATTATTATTATTTTATATACTTCTTTTTTTTTTTCTGTATTGTCACCGCCAACCGTCAATGAAAAGTAGAGAACGTTAAGATGAGTGTTCCTAGGCGTGTGGTTAAACTCGCACAGTTTTCAGGTTCTTACCTTAATACAACATGGACACGAAAGTTTATTCTTGGCTCCTTGCTACAGCGCTACGATCCCCTACAGGGAGATGACACTTTAGTTCCTCCATCTCCTCAAAAAGTTAATGAGAGCGCTGCGTTAGACAAGGAGTTATTGCGTCTTCAACGCACGCTCGCTGAGGTCTGGTCGCTGCCCGTTCAACCTCTCGATTCTCTGAGTGAAGCTCGTATTCTTCGCCTTCTTGCACGCTATGCAGCAGGGGAAGGTGCTCTCGCTACAGAAGCATTGGATGAGTTAAACCGTGTCCTTTCTTGTATTCGTGGGGCTCCACAGCATGTAGAGGATCCGCGACATATGGAACATCTTTTACAGGCGTTACAGTATGTGAAACCGGGTGATAATTTGCGGCGTGTGGCGTTTGCCGGTGATCTTCATTACCCACCAAGCGCACTGTCGTACATGCATGCTCATCTAGGCGAGGATGTGCAGCTGGATGGGGGAGATCCGTTTGATTGCATACGGGAGCATATGGACGGCCCGGCGTATGCAATTGACTCCGCCACAACATCAGAAGTGGATGACGCAATTGGTGTGCACACCGACCCGTCCACTGGTGAGGAGTACTTTATGGTGTACGTTTCAGATGCCACAGTGTACTGTCCGTTTGATTCCCCGTTGGAGCAGGTGACGGCGCGGCTGCTCACTACAACAACATACCTCCCTGAAGGTGTTTTCTTTATGCTGCCGAAGCCTATTGTGGAGGCGGCGACCCTGCGTGAAGATCGTCCATGCCGCACATTTAACATTCGATTCCAGATCGATGAGGCAACGGGTGATGTGAAGAACTATAGTGTGGGTGTTGGTTGGTTGCGACAGCTCCGCCGCATCACATACGATGCCGTCCAGTCGCTCTACGACGGCGAAACAGAAAAACATACAGATGCAACGACAACAACAACAGCAACATCATCATCACCAGCATGGATGACAGTAACAGATAAACATGCATTGCAACGTATATTTCAGGCAGCGCAGCGTCGGTTTGAAGCGCGACAATTACGCTCCCGTGAGCGATTCATCGACGCCAATCTCCCCGAACCACTTATCAAAGTCTCGAAAACGCGTGTTCTCTCAGTGGAGGACCAAATCATAGCTACTAAAGATGCCCGATTAGCAGTAGCAGAGATGATGATAGCTGCCAACGAGGTGTGTTCACGTGTTGCGCAGGCAAACCATCTCCCAATTCCGTACCGTGGTACACGGGAACTTTCAATGGACCACCAGGTGGCGCAATCCTACACAGAACCCCAGGGTGTCACTAAAGTGGCCTCTCTTGATCCCCATTATGTATACTTTGCTGAGGCTATGCAGCAAGCGGTTCGTCAACTTAGCTCTGTCACACGAGCAGTTTACTTTCACACACCAATTCATCACGCTGGACTCGATACATACAATTATACCCATAGTACAAGTCCCCTACGACGTTATGCAGACATGTTAGTACATCATCAACTGAAGGTGTGGCTATGGCGGAACTCTAGGGGTAGTGGTCGTGTGACATCTTTGCCTTCTCGAAAAAAAAACTCATTAGCAATGATTGAACAGCCAATAGCAGAACATACTATGGCCACTTTGTGTTCAATGATAAGTAGTAAGCAGGAACAGTCAAGCCTCTTGCAAGACAGCAGTCAGCGATACTGGTTACTAAGATATATTGAGCAGAATATTCTTACAAAGAATCGTGCACATCGATTTATTTCTTTGGTTGGTGATACACGTGGGGTAGCGAGTGCCCCAGAATATACTCGTTTTTTACCTTCTTTTCATTACAACAATAAAAATAACGACAGTAAAAATCATAAATATATTGGTAATAGTACTTTAATGGATGGTTTTACTCCAGCTACTGTACCCTTTGCTGGTAGGTGGCAGCAACGATCTCATGAATACCGATATGTTTCTGATATCTATATTCCTGAACTGCAATTTGTGCATGTGGTACTGCACAGCTTGCCAAAGGTTGTAATTGGGGCGGTAGTGGAATGTGAGGTACTTGAAGTTTGCCCTACACAGGGCCGACTTATACTGAGAGTTGTGAAGGTGTGGAAAGGCGGAGATGAGCGCCAGTTTGAATCACTTTGGAAGAAGGCAATATTACCGTCACTGGATTCGTGATGAGACATGGGTAGGTGACAACGGGAAGATTAGAGGTTACGGGTATGTCACTGATAAGCAGTGCTATTCATCACATTGTATGATAATATTTTTTCTTCAATTCGTAGGTTTTTTTTTTTTTTTTTCCTTTGTCTTTTCGATATGATTATTATTATTATTATTATTATTATTATTATTGTTATTATTATTATTATTATTATTATTATTATTATTATTATTATTATTATTATTATTATTTGTGAAAACTCTTTTGTTTCTTCTTTTTTTTTTTATCCTTAGGGAAGGGATTAGTATGGGCTCCTTCTTCAGTAGTCTTTGGGAGTTTTTTAGTCCCTCACGCCCTTACAAACTTCTTATTCTTGGCCTCAATAACGCAGGGAAAACATCTATACTTTATCATCTCCAGCTTGGTCACGCCATCAGCACGCAACCAACACTTGGAGGTAATACGGAGCAGTTGGTTATCACACATGGTTCAAATAATAATAATACGATACAAGTAAATTGCTGGGACCTTGGTGGACAAGAACAGCTACGAGACTCATGGCGTCTCTACTATGATCATACTGATGCAGTAATATTTGTAGTAGACGCTGCTGATCCAGTACGCTTTCAAACAGCAGGGAAGGTACTACGAGGTCTTTTAAATGATGAGCCGCAGCTGCGACAGGCAGTATTGCTCGTGCTAGCAAACAAGCAAGATTTGCCCGGAGCGGCAAGTCCGGCAGAACTAATAAACGCATTAAATTTGGGTGCAATAAAAGACCGTACGTGGACCTTGATGGGATGCAGCGCATCCACTGGTGATTCCCTTCGGGAAGCAATGGCTTGGGTGGCGCAAAAAGTGACGGAACAAGCAAGCACAGCAACTGTTTGAGATGAGTAAAATAACGAACTCAAATATAACACTAACATTTGTTTGCTTTCTGAGTACCTCTAAAATATCCTTTTTATAAAAAGGACGACAAAGAGAGAAAAGGTTTATATGCCTACCTTATTCCCATGGAATAAAAGAAAAAAAAAAGCGATTTTCACATTTTTCCTGACCTATTTATTTTCAGAAGCTTTAGTTTGGGTGCGTCGAAACCTATTATTTGTATTAATTCATAAAGGTATGAATACAAGTTCAAATCCACAAATTATCAATAGACAGTAATACTGGAACAACGAAAAAAAAAGACACTGTTTCTGGGCACTTTTGATCCTACAGTGAACCTTAGTCTTTCTGTGAGCTCTAACACCGCTCAGAGTATTGCTTCCGGTAGTAGTGGTAGTAGTGGTGGTGGTGTCAGCCGAATGTGGGCGAGCAAACATTCGGATGAACCTAGGACAGAGTCGTGCAGCAGTGGCCACCGTGCCCCGCGTCACCCAAAGCTGTTTATGGATGTAGGATCGCTAACAGTGTGGTTGGCGGAGGAGCACGCTGAATTCAGATCACACATGCTCCATAATCCTTCTGTGTGGACCTTCGGTCGTCTTTTGGGCTTCTTAGGGAAGCGGCGCTTCATGGAGCAGCTGTGGGACTTTTGTCTCTCTAGTTACTGCGTGGTGCCCAGGTGCGTCCTCACCGCTGCTGCTGAAAACAGGGTTCCTGAACACCACCGTGAGGGGTGGGAGCGCCTCTGCCGGCAGTACACCGCCCCTGTGGCGGTGATGGGACCGCTGACAAGCACCGTGTCGGACCTTTCTGCATTTGGAGGGGATGCATGTACACGTTTTTTTGGTGCAGGGGCACCGCACGACGGCCCTCGGAATCCGCTATTCTTCCGAAAGGGTGGGTCGCCGGCGGCATCGGTGCTTTCGATCAATTCCCTCACCCATGAACCAGACGAAGTGCACTCGTGGACGGGAGGCCAGAGCGTGGGCGGCGGGGCGACAACAACACACAGCAACCTGGAGGTCTGTACCAGTGGCACTTTCTCTCGTCCCGGTGAGCGCTGCGTTATTATGAAGGCGCGGCGCCCCATCAACGCAGGAGATGAACTGCGCTACGAAGCCACCCCCTTGCCGTAACGGAGAGGAGGGGGTGGGGGGCGGGTGACGTTTAGCAATATCTGCGCACAGACGCCACAGTTAAGTGAAGTCTCGAGGACTGGCAGCGTAACGGGATAAAATGGGATTTGGAGATACCATGTTTCTTATGTAGTATTATATATAGGCGCAAGATGTCTACCACATATATATTTGAAAAAAATAAAATGAAAATAGTCAAAGTTTGAATACTGGTTTCTTTTGCATGTGATGCCGCGGGAAAGACGGCAGGGGAACCTCACATTTCCGGATGCAGCAGAGTAGGGGTGGAGTTGGTTCTTGATGTTCGTTGTAGTTGCGTGTGTATGTTTATCTTGTGTCTTGCTTTAATGTGTTTTGTTTTATTTTTATCTTGCTTTTGGGTCGTGTTTTCTTGATTACCTCGTCTCTACAGGGTGGGTACCAGGAAAACGGCCTTCGGATTATTGCTTATTTGACGAATAATCAGAATTGATTCTTCCAGGTACCCATATTCTCTCTCTCCCCCTCTTGACGTATTCTTCGTCTTGGTATATTTGGGGCTACGTGTTTATAACTGTGGTTGTGATTATCACATTCTGTTCACTGGTGAGGGTATTGTATAATGTATGGAAATCCATGCTTCTCTTTTTTTTTAGCCTATGTGAATACGCTTTTTCTTTTTCTCATGTCCACTATAATTCACTAAGTGTCCGAAGATATGCCCAATTCGGGAGGTAGTTGTGACAGACAACTTTCAAACTCTTTGATGAAGCGGCATCGTCGGGGACGTCCAGGATTTTTTTTATTCGTTGGTGCAGTGACGTTATTGATTTTTTTAAGCTTCCAACTTTCTTTTCTGTTGGAGTCACAAGAAGAGAGCTCACAGAGGGAATTTGGCACATCAGGGGTGCGTGTGGAGGAGAAGAATTTTGTGTTTCCGCCTGGCGATGAGCCCGACATGCAGCCGTGGTTCGAGTCGCTTCTCAGTGCGGTTGCGCATAATAAATCCTCGACCGCTGCGTACGGATGCAGTTGGTTTATGGCTCCCATCGGGGAAACTATGCGAGTAGTGCCAGCTTGTTCAGTGGGTGACAATAATAACAACAACAACAACAACAAACCACGCTGTTCGAACGAAGAACTATCCGCTGGCAGTATGGCGGTTAATCGAGGGGCCACCCAAGCGCGGTGCGTAACGAGGGGTATGCAACCCAAATGCTATACTGAAAACATCATCATGCAGAAAGGAAGTTTTTTCACTTTCGAAGGTGGGAATTTGAGGATACCATCTAGGCTTTTTCTTGGTGACGGAATGAACAGACCCTTTGCGAGGTACCACCGATACTATGGAAATTCAGTACAGAAGGTTTCATCTGCTCCCAATCGTGGTCCCTCCATTCTGAATCACTGCAAGTATGTTGTGAATACACCGGCGGTATTTTTGTACCGCGTAAGTGGACACTCGACCTTTCATCTGTGGGTAAATAATCTTGGACCATTCTTTGCAACGATGAATGACGACTTTGGATTAGAGACTGCAACAAAAGGATTGGGGAGATTATTTCGTGGTAAAAAACCGATAATCATCACAGTTGATGATAAACCGTCCCAAGGCCCTAAAGCCCCCCTGTTGTTAGATGAATTGTTAAGTTATTTCACGGATCTCCCAATATTAAACGCCTCTGATTTCACCGAGCCGACGTGCTTTACTCAAGCAATCCTTGGATGTAGTGCTACTACTTTTGATCAGTCTGAGATTCGACGGTGGATGATACCACGTGTTGCGTTTAGGCACCGCCTTCTGCAGTTACTCTCGATGAGGAGTGGTGGGAACGACAATCCAAACACTAGCCCTACAGCCGACATAAAATCACTGCGGTGCTTGGTATCACTCCATGATGCACAACTTCCCAATGTTGTTAGAGAATGGATGGCTTGGAAACTTCGACATTGGCAGAGGCTGCCATATAGGCCAAGGGTTCTGTACCTTAGTCGGAACCATCCTAACGTCACTCGTGGGCGAAAGGTGGTAAATGAAGCAGATGTCCTTCCCGCCCTTGAGGCACTGGTGCTTGAAATGACGGGAGGCAAACTCCAGCGTATGTTCTTTGAGGAAATGGCATACGTGGATCAAATTATGATGATCTCCGAAACAAACATTCTTATTGCTCCTCATGGTGGAGGCATTGCCAACTGTGTGTGGATGCCGCCGGGATCTGTGGTTGTGGAGTTTGTATCTCCAGCTGGGGCGACTTTATTGCAGATGTACCACAAGTGGTGTAGACAAGCAGCGGGCCGCGGTGCGCTACCAATCGAGCACCTTCCGTTCATTGCTGAGCAGGACCCTGCGGAGCGCAAGCCTGGCTTTGCAGAGGCGAACCCAGTGTGGACTCGAAACAAACGGCTCCATAGCAATATTTGGCTACCGAAGGAAAAACTTGTGGAACACGTGGCGAAAGCCATCACTTTATATCGACAATGGACGGAGAAGGCGAAGAGTAATGTGTGACTGCATATGTGTAGCAGAAGGAGGGAAGGTGCATCACTCCTATTGCTAATGCGAAGCGTATGTCCTGGTTTGGAACAGGAATAATCTCAGCGGTGCCTCCCATCCTATCTTATGTTGTGCCTCCTTTTGCACGTTTTTCTACTTCTTTCTGCAAGAAATAATTATCATGAAGTATTCTGGGTTTTTTTTTTTTGTTGTTGTTGTTATCTTCTTACCTGGTATTACTTAGTTTGTCAGTTTTTTTTTTTTTTTTTCTGTTTTTGCGTGATGCGAAGAGTTGAGGAAGAGGTCCTTGTTGGACACCAAAACTGTGCACGTATTGATGGCCAGTAGGCTGGAGCGTCTGGGGAGTCCGGCACCGTTTCTGCAGTTGACGACTTTTCCCGCCCACGGTCGTGGGTCTGTAGGTGATGACTGTTGGAGACACGACAGCGGTGATGACAGGCCTGCAACAGGACGCCTCATCGTTTCTCCGGCCCCGCATGGTGATGGAGTGGGTGGTGAGTGGTGCTGTGATGTGCGAGGGTCACCAGTACACCGTGCACTTTCCTGGTCCTATCAAACGGAGGCTGATAGATCGCGTGGTGCTGAAAACTTTTCTGTTACAAATGGGACGCTCTCACCTATTGTAGCTGCTGGAATGGTTGGTGCTGCCTCGGCTACGTGTTTTGTTTCACCTGAATTAGCCACGTGTGATAAAGAGGAAGTAAGTGAAAGAAAAGAAAGATTTTCTTCATCTGGCAGGAGGTCTGTGGTGCTTCGCGCCAAAGAGGATGACCCTCCCGTCTGGGTCTCGCCCCACCGTGTCGATTGCAGCAGTAGCAGTCCACACGAAGGAAATGATGTTGACAAACCGTGCTCCACATTTCACCCATACTCTACTCTTCAGCAGAGCAACTCACAACCGGTGGTAGCCGTTTCTGTACTGTTGGAAATGATGAGTGCAATACAACATTCCATTCAACAGCTCGGCAGTGAGGTAAAGGAATTAAGACTCACCTTAGAGACTGTAAAGATAAAACTTGAAAATGGTGGGCGTGAACATTCTGCACAGCATGACACCACAGAACCATTGGGAGGGTCAGCTGCAGCAGTGCAAAACGAATGCAATCACATACGGCCTTCAACATTCATCCCTCCCCCCAGTTCTCCTCCTTCTTCTTGGGACTCATGTTGTCTCTCAACTCACTCTTCTCCCCCTTTAAGAGGTTCAGAGGCTCTGCTAGACGCGGATATCGTTAAAGCAATGACAGATGGACTGAAGGAGCTCGAATCACTCCCTTGCTCCCTCCCGGCTGGACATCGTCTTGCGATAGAAAAGTTCCATAATCTCTGCTGTGGTCGTGGATTGACCGGTTAAGGATAGTCGATCAGTTCCACCAGAGGGTACTGATAAATCTTTTTTTTTTTTTTGTTTACTTCTTTGCACGGGGGATATATTGTCTGATTTTTCTGCGTACTTCTTTATGTTTGCGTAGGTGTTATTGTAATTATTATTTTTTTTTTTTTTTTCTGACGCTAGTGGCACCAGCCAGAGTTAGTTTAAAGGAAACAAAAGGGTAATAGGAAAAAAAAAGGGTACAAGAGGTGGTCTATTCAAGGGTGGCAAAGCTAGACGCAGAGTTTTGGAGAAAATAAATACAGAAAGTGCGTTGCTCTCTTTGTCCTTGTTTGTTTGTGTGCGCTCATTATTACTGAGACGAAGAGAATGTATCTTGATGAGAACTGTTCCGGTGCCATTACAGGCTGCAGTGCGTCCGTGTCGGACTGCAACCAAAATTCATTTAACCGCCCTGGACCGCAACATGTAATCCCGCTAACACCGACTGTGGGAACTCGTGTAGTGCTCACTTCGAAGCAAAGTGACAGAGACGCTTTTATTTGGGAAGACAAAGAAATTGATTTGGCGTATTTGCGATGCGCAGAGCAACACATGTTAATTGGTAGGGTGTTGCGCGAAACGGATACGCATTTTGTGGTGCGCTTCGAGATTCCGTATTGTTGTCTGTCACCGAATCTTCGTGGTCAGCGCGCTGCGCGTGATCCTTTTGACGCGCGACGCCGGGAAGATGAAGGAAAGGTGTTAAAGGAATGCAAAGAGAGCGGGTGTAAAAATGAGCACGAAGATAAAGAGGAGGATAATGAAATTGATAAAGCAACGTCCTCCATACTACCGCGTGTTGACATTGACTCTGAGATCATCAACACTGGTGTGACGACGTCCCGCTTTGTCGTGGGCATTGTCCCCGTTCTTACGGTTACGTCTGAGAATGTTTCCATCCCTACGCCAAGAAGCAGAGAAGAAGCACGGTTCCCTCTGGGTGGAACAGCAGGGTCACGTCGTTCTGGTCACACTGGAAGCGCCATACTCTCATCACCAAAAAAAAATCGTGAAACAGAGTCACAGTCTCTCGGCGCAACTACACAGCAAAGCGGTTTCGTTGCCAGCGACCGTTCTTACAACGTTTTGCAAGTATCCTTATCTGTAGTAAAAAGATGTTGTATATCACTTTTACATAGCCTTTTAGAGCAGCACGATATGCTTGAGAACGTGAGTGCAGCTTTTGCTAGTCGAGATTTCAAATTGGTGGCACAACACGTCTCGGGGGTGATTGAGGCACAACGAATAATAGCGCAAAGCCGTCGAGACGAATGCAAGAACATGGCAGATTCATGGCGTTCGTCGCTTTCATGGGTCCAGCCTCATTCCCACACAAGAGATTCTGACGCAAGTCGGAGAACAGATGACACCTTGGGGGAAGAAAACACCCGTTTCATCAAGTTCATGAGACGATGCAAGGAGGGTTCATCGTGTGTAGAGACTCAGCAATATGCTTCAGTTGATCGAAGCGAAAAGGAAATACGGCAGGGAGGCGGTGGCGGTGGCGGTGGGAGTCGTCAAAGTAGCGGCGTGGAGCTGCCATCAGCAGATGGTCAAGAGGTAGAATCCCTTGAAATTGACAAGTTGCGGGCCTTGCAGGTTCTATGGAATGCCAATAGTGCACAGCAGGAACTCGCTCCGTTATATGCTTTGTTAAGCTTAGTACACTTCCACGACACCCAATACCAGCAGTCTCTGGAAGACGCCATAACAGCCCTCGCGCATGATGACACGTGTGTGGAAGCTTACACACGTGTGATGGCAAGTTTTATGGCTCTAGGCTCTGAACAAGAAGCACTCGTAACATCATCAGTAGCTATCAAGCGTTGTAGTGCAATTAGTCCGCAGTTTGTAAGACTCTCTCGAATTCTCTGCGCGTGTGCTTTTTACCGAAGAAACCTTTCGGAGCACAGCGGAATTGATGTTCTTCCACGCATACGTAACCCTACCAGTTTTGAAAAGGGTCCCGGACGTGAGCCAACGAAAATACCAAGGGTCCAACGTGCTGTACGACTCTCGTCAACCTTTCGTGTGCAGAAACTTAGCTATTCCTGTGCAACCCCCGCATCATTTTTTTCTGCTGTCCCTTGGGCATTACGTGGCCTGCTTACAGGGGCGTCTCCTCCGATGGATTATTTTTCGCGCAGCCTGCGAGCTCGCGCCTTGTGTGGTTTTAACCAAGGTGATGTCGTTGTATGTGAAGAGCCTTCTCTTCATGTACTCTTGCTGTGTTCAACTAACCTTGAGAGTGGAACGACAGCAATGCCCTCATCATCATTTTCACCGTGGTGTGAGGATGGTAGCTGTCCTGCAACAGCGTGGACTCTCTGCCGAAAACGTTTCTGTGCCTACTGTGGGTACCCACTCGTCTCAAAACAGATGCTAATGGTGGACATCCGTGAGGCCACCTCAAAGGCACTGGCAGACCGACTACGTATGAACTTCAGTGCGAGGGAACCCCTCCCATGTGCAGGAAGTTGTGGTGATCATTACTGTAGCGAGGTATGCCGCAACCGGGCGGCAGCGGAGTATCACTCGATAGAGTGTCAGCTTGTCGTTGCATGCGACGACGACGACGACGACGACGACCAACACCACCACCCCCACCACCACGTTGTCGGCAAGGATGGGGAGGAGGAGGAGGGGGAAGAGGAATCAACGCTTCCCGACCCTTCTGTTTTGCAAGAATTCACGGGGGAAACAGGGGTCAATGCATCATCTCTGTGTCCGTCAAATGTTGTAGACAGACCTGGCCGACTAGTGGAACTTTTTCCATCTGCAACGGTACCATTTGACCGTCCAGGCGTGCGTGGATTGGTCGCTATTCGACGCTTTCGCATGTATGGCGGAGAATCGGAATGTGGATTGATATCCACAGATGTCCAGTACAGCGAGCCACAACATGGCTCTGACATCTCTTCTGATGATACTCTGATAACGGCGGAACAAGAAAAACGTTACGCGAACTCGATTGTGACCTGTCGCACTGTCATTCGAAAAATCCGCAACAGCTTCAAGTGTCACTACGCGGCAATCGAAAAGTCTATCCATGACAAAGCACCGAACGCCGTAACTGCAGCGCTCCTTGTATTGAGTCGTCTCGTTGCGAATATTTTGTCTCTGATTCTTCCACCAATTGCACGAGAAATAAAAGGATTTGGTGAACCTGACTACTGTTGTCGTGAAAGATCAGCATCCATAAAGGCAATTATCGGGCGCTACACGTTGAGGGGCTTTACCAGCTACGGGACAACTCCGTCAGACCACCACGATGTTCATGGACTTGTTTTGGCAGAAGAGGTTCTCCACCAGATTGGAGTCCCTTTCTTTGCTGATACAAACCTGGCCCATCCTACCACCGTTTGGGAACTACTAAACGAAGAACCCAAAGAGGCAAAAAAAGGTAGCGATGACGCCCCACCTTCAGTGACCTCAACGACCCAGAGCATTCGCCGTGGTTTTGATCGTGCAGTGGAGTTGCTCTCTGTCATTAACAAAGTAATCCAAACAAGCCTGCATGATGAGGCAGTAGCCTTTAGTCTTTCTGTGAGCTCTAACACCGCTCAGAGTATTGCTTCCGGTAGTAGTGGTAGTAGTGGTGGTGGTGTCAGCCGAATGTGGGCGAGCAAACATTCGGATGAACCTAGGACAGAGTCGTGCAGCAGTGGCCACCGTGCCCCGCGTCACCCAAAGCTGTTTATGGATGTAGGATCGCTAACAGTGTGGTTGGCGGAGGAGCACGCTGAATTCAGATCACACATGCTCCATAATCCTTCTGTGTGGACCTTCGGTCGTCTTTTGGGCTTCTTAGGGAAGCGGCGCTTCATGGAGCAGCTGTGGGACTTTTGTCTCTCTAGTTACTGCGTGGTGCCCAGGTGCGTCCTCACCGCTGCTGCTGAAAACAGGGTTCCTGAACACCACCGTGAGGGGTGGGAGCGCCTCTGCCGGCAGTACACCGCCCCTGTGGCGGTGATGGGACCGCTGACAAGCACCGTGTCGGACCTTTCTGCATTTGGAGGGGATGCATGTACACGTTTTTTTGGTGCAGGGGCACCGCACGACGGCCCTCGGAATCCGCTATTCTTCCGAAAGGGTGGGTCGCCGGCGGCATCGGTGCTTTCGATCAATTCCCTCACCCATGAACCAGACGAAGTGCACTCGTGGACGGGAGGCCAGAGCGTGGGCGGCGGGGCGACAACAACACACAGCAACCTGGAGGTCTGTACCAGTGGCACTTTCTCTCGTCCCGGTGAGCGCTGCGTTATTATGAAGGCGCGGCGCCCCATCAACGCAGGAGATGAACTGCGCTACGAAGCCACCCCCTTGCCGTAACGGAGAGGAGGGGGTGGGGGGCGGGTGACGTTTAGCAATATCTGCGCACAGACGCCACAGTTAAGTGAAGTCTCGAGGACTGGCAGCGTAACGGGATAAAATGGGATTTGGAGATACCATGTTTCTTATGTAGTATTATATATAGGCGCAAGATGTCTACCACATATATATTTGAAAAAAATAAAATGAAAATAGTCAAAGTTTGAATACTGGTTTCTTTTGCATGTGATGCCGCGGGAAAGACGGCAGGGGAACCTCACATTTCCGGATGCAGCAGAGTAGGGGTGGAGTTGGTTCTTGATGTTCGTTGTAGTTGCGTGTGTATGTTTATCTTGTGTCTTGCTTTAATGTGTTTTGTTTTATTTTTATCTTGCTTTTGGGTCGTGTTTTCTTGATTACCTCGTCTCTACAGGGTGGGTACCAGGAAAACGGCCTTCGGATTATTGCTTATTTGACGAATAATCAGAATTGATTCTTCCAGGGTTCATATGTTGTCTATCTGAGTTTTTTTTTTTTTTGCCTATGTGTGTCTCTGATATTTGTTTCTTTTTTTTTTCTCTTTTTTTTAACGGTGTAGAGTTTGGAGTGCGGGACGACTGGGAGAGAGTTTGTTTTGGTGTTATTTCTGTTTTCTAATCTGGATAAATATGGGACTTGATGCTGTACCACACGAGAGGAAAAAGTTTATTAAGGGAACGAATATTGTTGTGCAAAAGAATGCTACGGATGGAGTGTATAATGAGCATCTCTCACTAATGTATTCTATTGCCGCTGATGATCAAGAGGAAGTGATGTGGTGGAATAATACCCTTCGTCCAGAGAGAAATCTAACCCATCCTTCTGATGCTTTTTTGCAGGGTATCAAGGCTTTGCGTCCGGCCGCGTGTTTTAACACATTTGACATTCAAAAGGCGCGACTCCGTCGTCTTGTAAAGCAAGAGAAAGACAAACGTAAGTTCCTGATTCGACGCAAAAAGGAGGTTGCGCCCACGGCAGCCATGAAGGCCTCCCTGAATCCGCATAAAGTCCCGCGTACAGGTGGTCGCGCTCCAGAAGAAGAACTTAGGTTGCTTTCCCGTGGAAAGAAATCGTCAAAGAAAAACACCACTAATGAATCTGATAAAAAGAAATATTTCCACAAGTGGAAGAAACAGAAGTTACAGAAAATTGGAAAAGGTTTGTAGAGAGAGATGCTTTCGTTCTATCCTTTGTTCTGTGACGTTTGTTGTTGAATGATTTTTGTAAGTGTGATGGTGAAGTACAACCCACGAGTAACAAGTAAAACAGCGAGATGGTGGCATTACTTTTCTTGATTCTTTGATTTTTTTTCTCCTCAGAGGTGTAATGGTTTCTGATGTTTAGTACACTTTGTTTTGTTTTTTTTGTTGTTTTTTTGCTTTTTTTTTTGGTATTTTTAAATCCTCGTCACTTTGTTGTTTTTTTTTTTTTGTTTCGAGGCTGAGGCTAGCTACTCGCTACTGGAATGTATTCTGGCCGTCTAGTGAATTCTTGTCTAAGGCGTATTTCATCGACTAGTATTGCGCCGCAACGGTGTGCATCGACATTGTTATTGCCGTGCCGATGGAAATCGTATGTGTTGAAGTTCCTCCGCGGGCAGCTACCAGAGGATCTGAAAGATCTAAATGGTGCTCTAGGGTGTCTATATGGGACACTTCCTGATGTTGACGAATTCGGTCAATTTGTTATTGCTCCTGAAGTTGTGGAACGTTTTCACCAACTCGGTTATGTCAAACTACCTCACCCGGTGTTGGACGCGCAGCAAATTGACAAACTTGCAGATGAGGTTAATGAACTTGCCAATAACGTTGAGCATCATCCAAAGACAGAGAAATTGTATGCAACTTCCCTGGCCGATTTGACAGGAGGGCCTCTTTTTTACTGTCAAGGTCAGTGGCGAGCTTCGTGGGGGATGCATGACCTTATTTATTTGCCTACTATAACTGTTGCCGCGTCGCAAGTTCTTGGTAATTCCCTTGTTCGACTTTGGTATGACGAGGTATTTATGAAAGAAGCACGGAAGGGGCCCTGCGTTCCTTGGCAACAAAACTATGCACGTTGGCAACACACAAAACCAGTCAACCATGTAACTGTTATGATCGCCCTGGATACTATGAACAAGGACCGTGGTGCCCCTTGCTTGGTTCCTGGAAGTCATCGCTGGAGAGATGGCGACTTGCTTCCGGCAGTTCCATACGATCCTTCAAAGGACGAAGCGCAACAGTTGAACACCATTTGGGATATTATAAATGAAGAAGAAAGTGAGGTACTCATGGATACGCCACCGGTGACGGTAGACATGAAGCGTGGTGAGGCCCTTCTTATCCATCCACTGACGCTTTTTGCCACTCATGGAAATCGCTCCCTGGATGCTGCCCGTTGCTGTTTCATACACTATATGGGTGAAAAAACGTATGCCACCCAAAATGGACCCCTTTTGCCGCATACAACAAAATTCCAAGCAGGAGCAATGATTCAAGGGCCATTTTACCCTGTGGTATTTGATCCTGCCATGACGGAAGAACTTTCAATGTTGCCCCCCGGCCCCACCCCATCGAACGACAACCCTGGGGAAGCACGGGCCGATCCTTGAGAAAAGGTGTTGGGTCGCCTGCCCGTTTTTTTTTTTTTTTTTTTTTCGGGTTTGTTGTTGTTGTTCTTGAGAGCTTGCGAAAAAAAGTGGTTGAGACTTACGTTGTTAGAGAGTAAATGGTGTACCGGGATTTAAAGTTTGGTAAAAGTATTTTTTTTTTTTCATTCTCGCAGTCTGCAAACGTAAGTTTCTGAAGAAAAAAAAAAAGTAAGTTCATAAACAAGGAAAAATGTTAAGTACGACCCGTCCGGTTTAAGAACACAGCGGAAAACTAACACGCAGGTATTTATAGATTTTGTGCACCAACAGTAGCCCAACAGCATTTTTATTTGAGATTCGTCTAGCTGGAACCACATAATTTAAGTTATCATATTAATGGTGTGTTCTGAGACTAGAAAACGATACACTTATAGTAAGAATGGCCAAAAAATAAAATCATGGACTTGGGGGGTCTTGCGTCCCTCTATTACTAGGTTCACCATGCCCCGGAATACAGAATTTCCACATGTCTTTGTGGAAGTACATGCTCATTTCAGGGCTAAATGGGCGGTTTTGGAAAAGAACCAATAATTATTACCCTCATTAGTACCAATGGCGTACATGGAAGGGCCCAGAATTAGGATAGCAGGGAACACAGGAACTCTGACAGACGGCATGGACCGAGGTAATCAGGCCGGAGGAAAAGATCCGCTCCTTTTGAGGAAATGATAGATTATTTGATGAAGACATCACCCAGCCAATTGGTGGCCGACGGAATGCCGGGAAACTTTTTCCATGACGGCAAATCCTGGACCAGATTATAACGGCGCATGGAATATTTTTCTGCAATGGACACACACTTTTCGCAATGAAGGGATGGCGGCATAACAGGTTCAAATGGGATGATAGCTTTACATGCAGATGCGGATAATACGAACAGTTAAGGATTTCCCGGGAGTGAAGATGCAGGGCATTCGGGAGGCTATCGTTGAGCGTTAAAGGCGGGATGATCCTTTCATACAGACCACCGTGGAGTGGCAGAAGAAACATTCAGCTCCACCACCTCCCAACAAAGCACACTGTTTCAGGTGTGATCGCATAGGCCATTACAACTCTACGTGCCATGTTGCTTTGCAAAAAGAACCTTTTAAACCAAAGAAAATGAACACGATCCCAACCCACGATTGCCAATACAGCTGGGGAAACGCGCAGATCCCATGGAACTCCCACGGAGTACGGTGCGTTATCTCGGCCAATGGGCCGCCACATTAAACAAATCAGCACACTTGACATCATTGATGTAAGAGAATTGGAAAAAATGGGATTTGCCAGAATCCGCAACGCAACATTTTGGCGCCCCCTTTAAAGGGCAGAACATTCTGCAACGGTCACACCGCACCAGGGTGGCAACGAAAGATGACGAAGCCCGATCACCGTTGCAACAGATAGGCGTAGGAACACTGTCCACCGAATGGATTAGAGCACGCATGAACAATAGTGCCGGGAGGCGTTGGGACGAGGTGTGGAATATTATGCAGAAACCCGAATTACACACCAGACGGCGTGAATCCAATTTGCGAATTAATAACGCCGAGGCACAGCGTATGAAGGAGGCAGGTGCTATTTGTACAGCTTCATCGCACCCAACCGCAGGGTGGGTAGTACCGTTTACGGTAGTGGAGGAAAAACCCTCCGGGCAGAGAAGGCGATTCATTGCGTGGCCAAGAGAAAAGAATGACAAGGATGATTGTGAAGCTGATGTTCCTCTGGGACACATTTCCCGATACCTGGATGCAGTTTGCGACGAAACTGCAACATTATTTGATTTAAAGGCGTCATTTTTCCAGGCAGCTCTACCGGTTAACATACGCGCAAGTTTCCGTCGCCGCACGGAATCAGGGGAACTCGTTGAGTTCACTCGCCTTCTCATGGGCTATAAACGCGGCCCAGAGATTTTAAATACCATTACAAGAGTTCTGGCTGGAGATCCGGAACTGGTAAAGCCACAGTATGCGGCACCCAAAGGGTTAAAAATACATGTCTGGATTGGCAACATAAGAATAAGTGGTTCACACAAAAAGGTGGAAGTTTGGGGACAGCAAATTTTGAAGAACATGCAACACTGCGGCGCCACCATCGGAGAACAGCGGCTAAACACAAAGGAACGCGATTTCATGGGAGTACATTTCAATCACAAAAACAACACGGTTTCTTTAAGCGGCAAGGCAATAAGGAGGTTACGACAAAC